CCAAGAGAAATTCATTAACACCAAAGGTATTTCATGTAGGAATTTATATTAGTGATCTATTCCCACATTTGTCACATGAAAATGATAAGATAGGGAGGGTGCGAGGGAGGGAGACGCAAGAGGGAAGAGATATGGCAACATATGTATATGTATAACTGATTCACTTTGTTATAAAGCAGAAACTAACACACCATTGTAAAGCAATTATAATCCAATAAAGATGTAAAAAAAAAAAGAAAATGATATTTGCCTTAGTTTCGGGGTATTATTTATACTTAATGTTTGGGGTATTATTATTCTTATTTATAATAAAACAGTATCCGAGTACCAGCTTTTTCCACCTAGACCGTGAAGCCCCTCATCAGAAAAGTCTTATCTCTAGGTGAATTTATGTATCTTCCCCCTCACCTTTCTCTGCTGGGGAGCAGCAGAGAAAAACCACCTTCAAAGTCAGCCCAAGCTGGGTTCAAATCCTGGTGCCACCAGTCCTGTATCGGGTGCATGCCTCAACTTCCTCTCCTGTATCACACCTCCTGGGATCCATGTCCCTGTGCCATCCCCTCCCGCAGTTGACCTGGGTTGGCCCTGAGTACACCAACAGAATGTGGCAGAAGTGGTATTGCCAGACCTCCAAGGCTAGGGCACAGGGATCCATTCGGCGCTCACCTTAGTCTTTGGAAGGTTTGGTCTAGGGGAAGCTATCCACCATGTAAGAAGACTGACTTCCCTGAGACCACTATGGTGTAAGGAAGCCCACGGTAGCCACGTGTGAAGAGAGTATATGGAGGGATGAAAAGAGGTGGTGGGGGGAGGCAGCTCAGGAACCATCTTGCTGTCTCAGCTATCCCAGACAAGTGATGAAGTCATCTCAGATGACTCTAGCCCCAGCCACCATCTGACCGCAACCCACTGGAGACCCCAAGGAAGCAGGGCCCATCTGAATCCAGTCAGCCCATGGAACATGACAGATGCATGAGTCAGGGACATCATAAATCTTCTGTAAGTAGCAGCCTTCTTTATCTTCTCTTCTCATGGAAATACTATCAAGTAAACCAGATATGTACAGGCTGTGGAGCCATTCAAATGCTCTTAACACTCGCCCTATTCTCACCATGTTCCTTATCAACGATCTCCCCTTGGAGCTAGATAGATATCAGGGTTACAGATTTTCAGATCTAGCAGTAACTCTGGATTCTGTTACTTAGTAGAGGCCACAGGTAAATGAGGTCAGCTCTGAATAATTTGAAGAAAGCTCAGAAATAAAATACGAGGTTTGGTTTTACCCTCTTTACTCCAGGGTTACTCATGGCCAATTAGATAGCATTACTGAGTGTCCACCACATGCCTCCCAGTGGACAGGACATGTGCCCTGCCTTGAAAAGCCAGGATCCAGGGGGAGCACAGACAAGTGAACAAGCCATCATACCACAGGTTTCAGGGGCAGGAAGGGGCTGAAGACAGGCACCAAGAAGACACACGGCAGGAGAGGAAGCTGACCCCATCTGTCAGGGTCTAGAGGGTTTACAGAAGCTGGAGAAACCAGAGTCAAAGGGCTGCAGGGGTGAAGATAACATGTGTGTGTCTCAGCTCTGGGTTTGGGGGTACATGCACCTAGGTGTGTGCCTGGGAATGGCAAGAGAGGCAAGGAGAAAACATGTACATTCCATGATCAGAGAGCACATGCCCTTCAAAATCAGTACAGAAGGCTTGAGACTAGCAGGTGGTATGCTTGGATCCCAGTTTCCACTCTCACAAGACAACTCACTCACCTTCCGAGCATCTTAACAGTGTGACTACACCACTAGGCTGTACTCCTCTCAGGAAGGAGACTATGAAATCTGAAAAGGATTTTTTTTATGGTGTTAAAATATATATCATAATATTTAGCATTTTAACCATTTTTAAGTGTACAGTTCCATGGCATTAAGTACATTCACCTTGTTGTGCAATCATCACCACCATCCATCTCCAGAACTAACCTATCCTCTAAACAGACACTCTGTGCCCATTAAACACTAACTTCCCATCCCCCCTCCTCACAGCCCCCTGCAACACCATTCTACTTTCTGTCTCTGGGAATTTGACTATTCTAGGTACCTCATATGAGTGGAATCATACAAGGTTTGTCCTTCTGTGACTGGCTTATTTCATTTAGCATAATGTCCTCAAGGCTCATCCATGTTGTAGCATGTGTCAGAATTTCCTTCCTTTTTAAGACTAAGTAATATTCCTTTGAACGTATATACCACAATTTGCTCCACATTTTCTCTATTGTGAATAATGCTGCAATGAACATGGGTGTGCCAATATCTGTTCAAGTCCCTGCTTTCATTTCTTCTGGATATACATACTCAGAAGTGGAATTGCTGGGTCATATGGTAATTCTACATTTAATTTTTTTGAAGAACCTCCCTACTGTTTTTCATAGCAGCTGCACCATTTTACATTCCCACCAACAGTGCACAAGGGTTCCAATTTCTCAACATCCTCACCAATGCTTGTTATTTTCTGTTTTGTTTTTTTTTAAACAATAGCCATCCTAATGTGTGTTAGGTGGTATCTCCCAGTTTTGATGAAAGGGATTTTAAAAAGATCGTGGTTCTTCCTGGCCTAGGACATTCTACATAGAGTCACTCATCTATGCAATTCTATGACTTTCCTGAGGCTGCCTCCACAATGTCTGTCTGAGGGCAGGACATCATCCCCCCCCAGTTAAGAGGCTCCCAGGCCATCCTCACCTATCCACCAGCACAGAATTCTAATGTTGCAACTGCCTTTCAACAAATTATCTTCAGACTTGATGGTCACCTTGTTTCTATCTTCTAAGCTCTGCTTCAAGTGGGCTCTAACAAGAAACATACTATCAATGACCTGTGGCCCCAGGTGTCCCCTGCCCTCTTCCCATCTTCAGGGTCTTTCAAAGCCACACCAGGAGTGAGGCAGTTCACCTTGAGCCTGTGTTGTGGGTGGTGCTCCTAGCCTATCCATTCCATTCCATGAATGATATTCCATTCATTGGGACGGTCCTTTCAAGAGTGAGTGAAAGCTGGTAACAGAGAAAGCTGCACCCCAACTCCTCCCCCACAAAGGAAGGGCTGTGACCAGAACTTGGCTCTCCTGAAGCTGAGACTTGAAAGAAATGCTGGTGCACGGCAGTGCAATAAAGCTGAAACTTTCAGTGAGACAGCTTTTTACAGTGTAAGACCATCAGGTCTCCCTTAGCACAAGAACTTGACTCCCCAGTTTTTAGCCACCCCCTCTTTCCTCCCATCTCCCCCATTTCAGTCATTTCACAACGGTCAACTATGCTGCTTATTAGCAGAGGTAGAAAAAGGTTTCAGGGGGAGTGGATGCTAAAACTATGCATCCTCAATACCTACAACAGTGCCTGGCACATAATATGAGTTTCGTGAATATCTGTTGAACAAATCAAAATTAAATTTATCAAAACAAGACTATATGTCTGTCTTCCACCATTATGAGCAAGCCAGGTAGCTTGAATTAGAAGTGGTGGGTAGTAACTGGAGAAGTATGAAATCAGCAAATATCACATTTTCACTCATTTATTTAAGGGCATAGTATGCAGGTATAAATAAAAGCATGAATAATGTTTTTTTTTCAGGTTGCTGTGTTTTTTATTTTCTTAGTCACTAATTCCCTTGAACACATAAGCTGAGCTGAAATAACATATTTAATTTTACTCAATAATTATTGTTTTCTGTTAACTGAAGTCTATATTCAGGTTTCCTTAGATTTTACCTAATGTCTTATGGCCATGTGTCCTCAGGCTCCTCCTGGCTACGACAATGTCAGACTTTACCACCCTGACAGGAGGACTGGTCAGGTATTTTGCAGGCTGTTCCTGAATTCAGGTTTGTGTGATGTTTTTCTCATGGTTAGACTGGGGTCATGGGTTTTGGAGATCATGTACCTATCCTATCAAGGGCACATGTGTTGTTTATTTTTGAATCATGAAGAACATGTCACCCACCCCTGGAGCCCCTCAAACTGACAGGTGCTCCCTGAAAAGTGCGCTACTGCCAGATGTCCATTTGTTACCTTAGAGATACATCTGCATCCTAGGGAAACCACGCTTGGTTTTATTTAGATTTTATGTACAGACTGCAGTGTTTTCACTTCGAAGTTGAATTCTTTAACAAATATCTATGATTTTATATTTTCGCTCAATATTGTAGGCCTCTTTATCTCTTTCCTCAGTTCACTCCTGGCTGATCATCCAGGGCACTCAAGAGAGTTTCACTTTCATTAGAGAATCTGAACTATTAAATAAGTTTACTTATTCTTAAACCCATGACCTGGCGGTTTCCTCCTTCCCAGAGAGCTCCTAACACTATTCCTTTTTTTTTTTTTTTTTGCGGTACGCAGGACTCTCACTGTTGTGGCCTCTCGCGTTGCGGAGCACAGGCCCCGGACGCGCAGGCTCAGCGGCCATGGCTCACTGGCCCAGCCGCTCCGCGGCATGTGGCATCTTCCCGGACCGGGGCACAAACCCGCGCCCCCTGCGTCGGCAGGCGGACTCTCAACCACTGCGCCCCCAGGGAAGCCCTAACACTATTCTTGTAGAACAACCACAAGACTCTCTCAGTCCTTCTGGACACGTTCAGTTTCAGTTTCAAAACATGCTACATCTTGCGTTCAGTAAACTGTCTCAGGCCTCTCTTATTACAAAGGAACACTGGCAAAGAACTCTGCTACATCTTAACACTTTCCACATTGATAAGCAGTGGTGTTTGGTGGCTTATCCACCCAGGGAATAATACTCAGTTGGCCCAGTTTTGGTGGTTTTAATCTTCCTTGAGTGTTCTTCACACTGAAGATCACTTGTAGTCAGATGGGTCAAATCTAAACCAGAGATGGTTCAATCAAGGACCCCAGGAACAGAAGCCACAGGAAAGGTCAGAAGTCTCGCTCGACCCTGAGAGCGAGCGCCTCCTTGGCCCGCAGGTCCCACCCCGGCCTGCCTAGCACACAGCTCTTACTTCTGCACTGGTGTGGCCAATGCAGGGGGAGAAGTCAGCAGGTCCTGCCCTCTAAGTGCACCCCAGGCCGGAGTCACAGCAAAGGCGGGAGGCCCATCGCTCCTTCTGAGCAGGCACTGGGCTCCGACCATTCGGGGGATACTGCAAACAGGAAGCTTTCCCTAGCAGCCGGTGGGTGCGGGTGACAGGGACGCCTGGGCGCCAACCAGAGGGCTGGTCGGTGGGAAGCACGGCTGCAAAGCGATTGGGTCTCGGAGGGAGGAAAGAAGTCTGCGGGAGAAACCTTATAAAACTGAAGAAGGCTTCGCCAGCGCTGGGAAGGGAGAAAGACCGTGGCGGCGACACAACTACCACCACTCAGGGCGCACCGGCTAATACCCAGGCCGCCTCCGGAGCTGCTGGAGGTCTAGGTTCGGCCGCGGTGGCAGCGCTTCCGGCGCACAGAACCGCGTCCGCGCCTGCGCTGCGGGTGGTCTGGGTGCCTCGCGCCCGCGCAGCTGGCCCTCCAAGGTGCCCCGCCCCGTCTCCGGACCCCACTCCGGCGACGACCGGACCCCCCCCCCCCCCCCCCCCCCCCCCCCCCCCCCCCCCCCCCCCCCCCCCCCCCCCCCCCCCCCCCCCCCCCCCCCCCCCCCCCCCCCGCCCC